AAAAAAGACTGAGGGATAGTGATGGAGCAATATGGTGTGGGTCACAGCTCAGGAACTGCGCTGCTGATGTGCATCCAAGCTGTCGGGAGAGATTCTGGAGGAACGGGGCAGTCCTCATTTGGCATCCCACTGAGCAGCCTCCCTAGGGTAGGCACCCATCTGGTGACGTTTCCTGGTAATCGTGGACTGAACAAACCCCCACACACCCTGGCACATGCATTAAAAGTTGAGACGTTGTGAGACATGGTGACATTTATTTCACTGGGAACTGAAATTGGTTATTTGTCCATAAGACAATGTTCTGGAGTCACTGGCCAAATAAGGGCTGAAGGAAAAGGCATATGGTATAAAAAACCAGTTCTTGGTGTAAAATTTTTACCTAAACATGATGATTCAAGATAGTGCAACACTTCTCTGGGAACAGGTGACATCCATGAATATTACTAAAAAGGTAAGATGTTGATAAAGGTCTTTCCAAGATCTACAGTTTCCACTATAAAAATATTTTCAAGACACAGTCAAGAAAGATTATATGATCTAACAGGGAGAAAAACAAAAGAGATGCTATTTTTGTCTCCTGAAAGACTGGTTGTAATTACAACGGTTGTGAAAAAAGCAGATTACTTGCTCATCTCTTTTTCCTCTGTGATATTTCCATCATTGTTTGACATTCGATTCAGTAAAAAATCTGAGAAGCCCTCAACTACTGTGGGTTTTAGGATTAGAAAAGGAAAGGCTGTTTTTGTTCAGCCTGAAGCCTATGGGAGGGAGAATTACCACGAGTGCAGCACACCACTCTGACAACTACTAACACGTTCTGCTCCTTTTGGCACAAAGATGAGCATTGGAAGATACTTGGGATATGATCTTGAGTTCAACATAGCATAAAACATACTTTTTAATTAAGTTTATGCTCACATAAGTCCTGTAGCTTCCTCCAGCATAAATAACAGACATAAACTTTGAGCTGCACTATTTTCCATTGGTTATCCATAGACCAGTGGGCTCCATAGACTGAGACAGCAAATGCTTAGGAAATCATAACTGTGTTATCTTGCCCTCATTTATCTCAACGAAAGCACAATCTTGGCTTGGTGAAATGAAGCTGTTCATACCATATACCAACCCAAACCATCCTATGATTCTATTATTTGTATTCTTTTCCTTATTACACAGGCGTTAGTGTCTCTAACTGGTTTGATATCTTTAAAAGTGTTAGTAGGTCCGAGGTTTCTGATGATGTTCTCTGAACCTGAACAAAAAAGTTTATTTTCATCAAAATAAATGGAACGTGAAGGAAAAGTGGACCTATTGGGTTAAACCAGAGATCCAGTTATCCCAGCAGCTTTTTCTGAAGTTGTCCGACAACAGATGTTTGAAAGAAAAAGCAGAAGAAACACGATCCTTCCTTCTTATAACCTCCCCTCTGCTGCTTGAATGCGACAATTAGCATGTCCTGAGCTATGTGACCAAAGTGTTAAAAGTTGTCATCAAATCCATTGCTTGTTAATTTATCTAATATATTTTAACTTATTTACTTTTTGTACAATATCCTGTAACAATGAGCATCAGAATTCAATTATGCATTGCCTGACTTAAATTTGAGACCAGAAAATTTCACTGGCGCTCCCTAATTATGATTCACATTCCCTGTTTTTTTATCCATCCTGATTTTGTAGACTTTTATTTCACAAACCATGTATTGGAGGAGTCCAATGAAATGAACTAAAAGTGATATAAGTATTCTAAAGCACATTTAAAAAAAATGCTGAACTCCTTTTCTAGATGAGGTAATGCACCCAAGTTTGGCTTTTGGGTGAAAAAGAGGAACTTTTGGGCTTTTGAAGAGATTGTCCTTTAGCTATCCCTGTTAACAGGTTTGTCAGCTGTGTTGCAGAGTGTTCTTAAATACCTTGTTCGTGAGACACAAGAAGCTGATCAGCTACAAATGTCACACCATCTGTAATGGTGTGTATCTTATTTGTATCTTATCTCTGGATATGTCGTTAAAAATAAGGCACAAACAGATGAAAATGCATAAGACTTTTAAAACCTGTAGAATAACTAGACAGTTCATATTTAAAATCATAGTTAGCTCAAAGAAATGTAGGCACTACCTCATGAAACCTTTGCTGTGACTTATTAGCTCTTAACCATTGCTTCTACTGGGGAAGAAAAGAGTCAGGGCCAGCAAGATGATTCAGGTAAAATCACAACAGGATAAACCTTTCACCTGTGAAAAAACACCCCAAGCGTTCTCCGTATTCAGTTAAATTTTGTTAAAAAATGTCTTTCATGCACATCTCCTGGCTGCATTTAGAAGTATCACATGAAATACCATCCTCCTAATTTCATCTTTAAATTAAGACAGTACCAATTGCCCGCTGGGTCCTGAATGTATGAGCACAAAGGTGCTACAGACACACATAACCCCGTTCCTATCCGAATTGTAGCTTGATTTTGAAACAAAAGAGTTCTCCTGGGCCTACTGCAGCCCTTTTTATCTGGACTGAACTTCTTCCAGGTTAAAAAAACCCAAAAATATGCACTGATAGACAGCTTAGACCACTTACTTTTGAAGAGTGAAAGCCTAAATGAAAATGCTGATCCCTAAAATGCACATACATATATGGGTACTCAAACACCTCATTTTATCTGCTGACGCTTAATTTGACAGTGAACCCTTCTTCCCTTTATGCTCTTTCAACCACAAACCTACATTATCTTTTCTCACAAAGCCTTGAAATTGTGGGAATTTTTTTTTTAATAGACAAAAGCAAATTTCATCAAATACTAACAATAGAATGTGTGTTCCTAAAAGGGTACAATGGTCTTGCTCTGTAATTACGCAATTTCCTAAACACTGACACAAACATTGATGTGAATGGCTGGAAGATTAATGTTACACTGATGACAAAAATGGAAAAACAATTTGGGGAATCAAGAGGTAATTAAATTCTTGACAGACTCACTTGAATAAGGACCATTAGTTATATGAATGAATTATTCCCCCGAGGCTTTGATTATATACAGGAAATAGACATTTAACAAGTTATTTCATTGGCAATATAAAGCTTATTATCTCCCAAAATAAATGGCAACATTAATTTACAGTGTTGCAGAAAGTGGTCATTTCAAACTAAAAAAATAGAGTTCTGAGTCCTGATGAAATGCAATGAGATGAATGAGTTCTTTCACAATGCATTTTTTTTTTACATATTTTAAACCGAATTTTCTGCGTGTACAATTAACATGCAAAGGCTGAACTCTGATTCCATGCACCTTATGAATCTGGAAAACTGGTTTCAGTCAGTGCAATTATTCTGCATTTGGACTGAACTCAGGTACTGTTCTGTAGAGCAGTCACAGGGAGTTATTTGCAAGTCTGAAATATTATTTTGCCAGCATGGAGAGACTAGGAAATGCATGTTCATGGCAAGAGGAACCTCTTACCCTGCTAATCTGTTACATTCTAAGTGAACGGACAGAAAAAACTGGGATAAATGAGGTATTATTATGCCCATTACAGAAGGAAACTGAAGCAAGAAGAGGTTAAGAACGAGATTAAGAATGAAGATAACCAGAGGGCTGAAGCACCTCCCCTATGAGGACAGGCTGAGGCAGTTGGGGTTGTTCAGCCTGGAGAAGAGAAGGCTCCAGGGAGACCTTAGAGCAGCTTTCCAGTACCTGAAGGAGGCTACAGAAGAGATGGGGAGGGGCTTTTTCCAAGGGCATGCAGTGACAGGTTGAGGGGTAACGGATTTAAGTTGGAAGAGGGCAGATTTAGACTAGATATTAGGAAGAAATTCTTTACAGTAATTCTTCTCACAGTAAAAAATTGTTGGATCAGGTTGCCCAGAGAAGCTGTGGATGCCCCATCCCTGGAGGTGTTCAAGGCCAGGCTGGATGAGGCTTTGAGCAACCTGGGCTAGTGGAGGGTGTCCCTGCCCATGGCAGGGGGGTTGGAACTAGATGATCTTTAAGGTCCTTTCCAACCCAAACCATTCTATGATTCTATGATTTCAACCTAGGCAGAGGACCACAGGAGCAGCAGGTCTGGAAGGACCTACTGACCCACTTGGTTTTGTCCCTTGCTAGCACCTACCTATGCCTCTGTCCTCCATCACCCGGTTTTGGCCCTGCCCCATGTTTTCTGCAACAAAACAGGACTTTTTGCTGATGGTTTCTGAAGCTCTGTCTCTTGGTTCACTCACAGCTATAAATCCCATGTGTGCCAACTGGACTGTTTTCAAAAATGAATCCCTGTAAATGTTATGTCAAGTATTTACTACTGCTGCAAATGCAAGCTACGCTTCAGAGGAAAAAATATACCTCAACAGCCAGGACTGTGGGCATTTCCCATGCTATAACTCTTGTCAGACGGCAAGGTACAGGATGTTAGACATCAGGCTGGTGAAAACTGTTGACTGTTGGGCACAAGAAAGCGATGCTGCACTGTGGTAACAGCAGGAACACTGTTCTGTCCAGGTAGCGCTGGTGGAAGGGAACGTGCATGTTTTGTGTTGGCTGGCCCATCGTGCCTGCTGTGAAACACTCCTGTGTTCAATGTCTGTCACAACGGTCAAAGTACAACATCTGAAAGCTAAATTTTGCATCTGGGACTATTTAACTTTCAACTTTTTGTTTGAGATTTAACAGCTTTTGAAGCCAGGGAATTTACACTTCTTGCCCTATTTTATTAAACAATTATCCATCTACACTGGTTTTTAATGTATTTTCTTCTCTATCCATCATTTAACTCCAATCACAGCTATCACAGAATGCTCTTTATTTTCTTTGTATTTTCCATTTAGGATGCACTGTCAGTCAATATTATTATAAAAAAATAATTATTTAGAAGATGATGCCATACTATATACTTGTCTGTATTTCACTATGCAACAATCTAAATAGTCCTTATGTTGCCAAAATTTTCTCTACTCTGAAACATATAGAACAATTACAAAGTGCAATTTCAAAAGGTTTCACTATTTACGTACCCCTTTTGCGTCAATTACACCAGGTTTTGCGTTGAATTTCACCGTCTTCAAACGTGCACGCTCCTTTCTTTCAACTCTGGGGAAAAGAAAACACAAAGAAACATGTTGATTATAGCAGTGTTTTGTACGGTACATTTGGTATCCAATCTCCTAAGACCATTGGTGGTTTACTATGGATAAAGGGAGCATTTAAGGCAAATTTTACAAATCATAAAGAGAGAGGTGTCAGGTCAGTGGCAGTGCGGTAAAAGTGTGTTAAGGACAGATTTACCCTCTGGGGCTAATTCTAGCCTGGCCCCATGAACTGACCACCCATTAGCAGGTGGATGCTTTGGGTGAGCTCTTCTTCAAGATCAGTTTAATACAAACGAATCTAGTATGCATTCACCAGGACTGCCTCATGAGATGAACCGAAGTGCGGAAAGGGAGGGCAAAAGGGACATTTGCTTTCAAACCTCAATCCTGATCTGAGAAACCAGCACACACCACCCCTGTCAGCCCACCTCCTGGGATCTGAGAGCCCAAACTGCAGCGTGGGGTGACCCCAAACTTGTCTGAGTCTGTACAGTTCTGGTGTCATATATTTAGAGAAAGTTGAAATTCTCCAATGAAAAGCGTCAAAAGTTATTTGGTTCTGATATCCATAGCTTCAATAAACACAGCTTGAGAGAGGAGCTGTTGTATTGTACATGCAATGCCTTCAGAGTGAGAAAATACTGACATCTAAAAAATTCTCTTTGGGAGAAAAACACATATAAAAAACATTAGCAACGAGATGATGCTAGACAAATTAATTCTAAAGAAAAAACAGTTTTACTTTTTAATGCTTAGTATGTTTAGCCACCAAAATAATATAGAAGAGGAATGTGTGGCATCTCAATCCATTTGTATCTTCAAATCAAGACTGGACAAACACAAGTTACAGTCCTCAGTATAGAGGGAAAAAAGAGATACACAGGGCATTCATAAAGGATATCACATGAGATAATTCAGTGTTTCTGTTCCTAAATTTTATGGATCAATATCCTGAATTTACCTTATTCAATGAATGAGCATTATTTTAAAAACATGTTAGTGAAACTTAAAATCTATTAGCATACCAAAATACGTGCGCTGAACATCTTACCTGTGGAAAAACTATATACTGTTAGTGCATTTGGAAAAAAAAAAAGATTTACATGTGTTGTATATTTAATCTTTTAACACAGCATGCTTAAATAACCATGCCAAGAGTTGAAAATAAAAATCTAAGAAGGGGTGAGTTCTCTGCTAAAAAAAATCAACCCCCAAAAAACAGGTGCAGAGAGAGAAATCTAAAGAAAGCAAAAAGCTATTTTTGTCCTTACCTTGACTAATATGGTCATTACTATAAAAGTGACATTTACTACCTTTGCAAGATCATCTACAGAATCTATCATCTACTGGCCCAAGCAAAAAAATCCGATCATCTACCTATAATTGAAACAGTAACTCTATTTGTCTAAGATTAGGAATTGCTCTAGGAAATCTATGTTGAATCCTGCAAAGCTAGCTTCTAAAAGCTCAATATTGTGTTTTTATTAGATAATAAATATCTGGGAAAAAAGTAAGGTTTTTTATATCCTCCAAATTGAACCAGATGTGGCCCTTTTTCTAACTTTCACAGTTTTCCACAAATGACATCAGAATGCAAAAAAATCTCTTGGTTTCTAAGTCTACATAGTAGGAACACCTAGTTTCTGATAACACTTTTTTTTAAAATACAAACTCTAGTCTTTTGATAGAATGATAATTAACACAACATGTTTCCTTCTGTCTGAGTGGGCTTATATATTTCCTACTGAAACACAGCGAATGCTGGTTACTATAGTTACAGTTTAAATTTAGAATAAATGCATTTCTCTGTAAGTGTGGAATATTCACATGGAAACAGCTCAAATGCAGCTTTCAAATTAAATCTATGTTATTAAAAACACATGAACAATCTTAAACTTAAACTAGCAGATGAAGTCCCTTGACAGTGCCGGTAAGAAATGAAGACTTGAGGCTGTGTAATCTCCTAAATAGGACGGATGCCTTCTGAGAAAATAATTAGCTCAGATGAACACAGTATTCTCCTTATTAATCTGTGTTAACATTTAAACTCATTCCAGCCATGTCTAACTTCCTACAACATCTGCTTTTAACTTCATTTCTTATTCACTGTGTTAAGAAATTTGGAAATTAACCCTGGAGAGTTATTTTAAGAGTTTCTTATTTATGAAATTCATCATAATTGCATTAGCAGCCATGGAGGCATCACCGCTTTCTACAGGCATAGCAGGCAGATGAGGAGCTGCAGAAACATTCTGCATTGCTTTCAGAAGGATATAAATAATGTAATTAAGTGCCATTAATCCTCCAGGCAAACATACCAACGAGGTTCATACATACTCAGCGTGCCTGCTGAGTATTACAAATGTTTCATAATCTGGGACTGTATTAAGGACAGCACAGTGTTGCCTACCATTACAATTTTCCTGACACCTTCCACCATAAAACTGTTCTTGATTATTTATAATTTAGCTGAACTGTATATTTCCAAGCTGAAATTTCATGTGTTTCAGGGTGATGACATTGCTGTTGCTGCCTGAAGTGTCAATGCAATGAGTTAGCTGTTGGAGAAAGGATAAAATAAACGGTTTTGTCCAGTTTATAAGACACTCTTAAAGCACTTCATCTGAGGTGCTCTACTGCCTTCATGTCTTGGGTCTGGGACTTGAAACGCGGCAGGGGGTTGCTCTGGTGTCAGGAATGTGCCTCTCTTTTTCCTGAAGGAATCAACCCAATATCTGAATGTCTGAAAAGCTTTGGTTTTTACATGCTGTGGAGAACTCCGTTGGACTTTAGCTTGGTTCTCCAAAGATTTACTCTTTATTGAGGTGGTCAAAGGGCAGGACTGCAGGAACCGAGATGTTCCCATAATTTCTCATCTGCGCTACCAGGACACTTTTTCCATAGACAGAGATAAACCATGAACGAAAATGATGAAGATAAAAATATTGAATAACAGTTCTTTTAGCACCATTGATCTAGCTCTTAGAAAATACATTTTTTAAAGGAACACCAATTCAAGCACTGTTAGCACGTTGTTTTTTTTTTTTTTTGAGTCTTCAGGTTTGTAATTGCTATATTTAAGGAAGAATAAACTTGACTCCCTTTTTTTCCCCAAGAAAGAGGGAGTTTAGGCACAAAGGGCATTTTTTTTTCAGCAATGCGAATGCCTAAATAGCATACGAGTGTAAATTCCTTACATTGCTTTAGCTGACAGCAAACCTACCATCCCTTGGACAATATTTTGATCAATCAATCAGCTGAGGAAATTGCTTTTAAAGGAAGAAATGTTTCACTTCAGATTGCATCCATTTTTCATTCATCACTGCTGCACAAAACAGGATTGTGGAGGGGTTATGCAAAGAGTAAAGGGAAGGGGGAGGATTCCCATCTGCCAAATTTACAGAGGCTCAAATTTGCAACCCTGACTTGCCTGATGTACACATTGCTCCCATGCCCCTTTCTAACTGTGTATCATCTTCTTGACAGAGCTATGCCTAAGGGATGGAGGGAAGCACAGATATGATTTCCAAAACAACTTCATGTCTCAAGTCCCATTTTCAAAAGTGCCTGGGGGTCACTTCAGCTCACTGAGATTTTGAGAAATGTTTAAAGACACCTACATCCAGCATTCAGACATGACTTGGGAGCTGAAATGCTCTAAGTCCCACATGGAGACAGCATTGCCTAGCACAGCTGATAGGGATTTAATCTCCAGCTTTCCACCTGCTCTCCAAGTGCAGCTCCCTGTAGAAACATTGCATTGTGCAGGGAAATGGTCTAAGACCATCTGAGATCTGCGACAGTTGGAGTATATCCTGTACACTCATCTTCTCTTGAAACATTTCTTGGTAGTAGACACCTGACAGCCCTTTTAAAAATAATGGTCAGGATTCACTCTCCTCTTCCCACTCTATAGCTAAAAGACTGGAGAGGTCCATTGAAAGTATAGCTCAGTCTTCAGGGTTTCCTCACTGTCAAGTTCAAGATCTCAGTTCTTTGGGATGCTGTTCTCTTCCAACTCCTCTTCTGAGGAACTTATTACTGTGATGCAGCATCCCCTGCACTGACTGAGATGTCTGTCTCCCTTTGCGCTTCTGGGCACATACTGCTATTGAAAATGGGTCTTTGGGATTTTTCAAAATGAGACTTTTCGTTCTTCATGTGCATTGCAAGCAAGAAGAAATCAAGCATAACTCAACCAGACACGAACTGTGATCCTCCATTGTGGGGGTTAATGGACCACTGGGAATTTTGTCAGTGCCTTTCTAAAAGCAGTCTTGGCAGAGGAGATGTGAAATATCAAGTGAGACTTGCTTAAACAGTGTTCATCACGGATGTAGAATACAGATGCAAATTACAAACTAGTGCTGAGAATCAAACAAACTGGTTACAGTAGCCCAATTTGCACAGATTTGGCACTGAGGTGTTCTTCAGAATTAAAGTTATTTCCAAATCCAGCATGAGAGCTGTAATAAGGAGAGTTATCAAACACAAGAATGAAACGTAAAATGGACACTTGAAAGACCTTGCCATATTTTACATCTCTGTTAATGGGTGTCTTCTTGTCTTACTTTACCATTTCCAGGTCATCTACATTATATTTGTTTTGCCAGCCCATCAAGTGAAAGACAAGTGAAAATATGTATTACTGTATAGAGTCCAAATATGTCCGTAGTTTTTTGTTGCTTCCATCCTCTGCTCTGCTTAGCCTTGTTTATGCAAGGTTTGAGCTTACCAGTCGATGTTCTCCAAATTATTTTTGAGCATTCTTGAACTGGCATTTTTGCAACAGAACATGTATTTTTCAGTAGGAGAGAACGTGCTCTTGTTCAGCTCTCCACCTTCAGTGACTTGGTTATAGAGAGCAGCTCAGCACCTGGTCAATACTTTATGAAAAGAGTAGACCTAATACCATTAGGAAATGAATTATTATAAAATTGTAGAACGACCTTATTCTGTTTAAAAGCAAACAGTTGTTTTCAATTATGGGTTGTTTCCCAT